ATTGTAGTGTTGCATAGGGGACATTTTAAACTTGTTGAAAGGTGGAATAGAGAGCCTTTAGAGATAGAGAGGACCCTATCATTGGAAGAATTCAGACATACTGGACAACTAATTAACAAAGGCCTAGTAAAAGGGATTCAAACATCAACTTGAATTGTTTTTAAAAACCCTTTATAATCTTGAGAGTTTTATGAACTCTCACTATTGAGAATCTGTATCCAGGAAAGAATTCCAAGTTCCAAACTATACCTTTGATTATATCACTCCTCCAGCTCAAAAATTATCAATGAGTTCCTTTTGCCAACTGAATTAAGCCAAATTTCTTTGTTCTTTGTTCTTAGTTTCTAGTTGTTGTATATATTTTTTTGTGTGTGTACTTTGATTCAAACTTAGCCTTATTCTTACCCTGCACAGCATTTTCCTAGTTAGTTTTTACCAAACATTGTTCTAGGATATGCAAATGGATGATATACAAGACACGGGTTTTGTGTTCAAACAGATTTGGGAAATTCTGATACTGAATCCTTCCCTGGATGCTTCCATTCTACATTAGAATGTGAAATGCCCAGAGAAATCCTGTCATGAAGAAACTTGTTTAACCTTTTAAAAGCCAGCATTTTCACATATGCCTGAACCCAAAGTACTTTCGTCTTTTGCCATAGTTATTAACATTGCAGAACAGTTTCCCATTTGTCATGTTCCTGTTGTATTTATTAGTTTAGCATCTCCTCTCTTCTTCTCATATGCTATTTTTCTCACTCCAACTTCATTCCTAAATCCAGCATGAGGAAATGATGAGAGACAGAGATAATTAGACTCTAGAACTGTAGAAACCACTCTCTGTAACCCCAGGAAAATGGGAAGATAAAGAGTTATAAAAATGTAGGAGAATCCATACTAATAAAAGAGAGAGATGCAAATTGACTGTACCTTTGCAACACGCACCAGTCAATCAGGAGAGAGTATGCAAATTAACCCAACAAAGATGGTGGGTTAATTTGCATATGCAGGCAATGAGCAGTTGTGGGCAGGGCAGGACACTTGTGTTGTCACCATGGCAACTATGCAAGCGTTCCACACCACCCCAGCAGCTCTGGGAGTGTGGGAAGGCAGAAAGGCAGCTCCAGACTGGAGCAAAGGCAGAAAGGTGGCTCTGGGCTAGAGCAAAGGTGGAAAGGTGGCTCCAGCCAGAGTGAAGGCAGTGCCAACAGCCAGGGGAAGGAAAGCCCATTCTTGCACGAATCTTTGTGAATCAGACCTCTAGTATATAAATGAAAGGAAAATTATATACTATGGAAGTGCTTTTGACATCATGAAATTTCTCATAGTCATTTTGTAGTTATTTAAAAAGTACAATACTGTTTTATTGGTAATCTGGCCTTGTAATTTCTGGATTTAGCTAGTGATCTATTTATAATACTATCTTTTTAGTTAGGCAATCTTTAAGAGGGTGAATAAAAAACGGGGTCAGGTCCTGGCCAGTGTGGCTCATTGGTTGGGTGTCATCCAATGCACCAAAAAGTTGCTGATTCTATTCCTGGTCAGGGCACATGCATGGGGTTGCAGGCTCAATCCTTGGTAGGGGGCATATAGGAGGCAGCTAATTGATGTTTCACTCTCACATTGATGTTTCTCTCTCTCATTCTCCCTTCCTCTCTTTATAAAAAAATTAAAAATATGGGGTTGGTATATCTAAAGATAGTGACAGTACCTATGCTAGTAAAGCAACATTCATACTCACCCATTCCTTGGTGCATTCATCTAGCGAGATAGGCTATTTTTCTGTGACTAGAGTAGTTAGTGACAAGTTAAAAGGAATGAAGGTAAGAAATTATACAGTCTATTTATAATCATTTTGATATATTCTACTTCTTTGCACATGAGACTGTGTCAAAAGTATTATTTTTTCCTGAATCACACATATAAACCATGAATATGTATCTAAAGATATCTGTAGTCACAGACAACTATTACTTACTGAGAATAGTAATAGCCAGAGGGTATAGCTTAATGATTCAAGAATGAGATTCAAATAAAGACTCCATCCAGTCTTCCTAGAAGCCAGCGATCAAATCTCATCAGGGTCAACTTAGCCCTTTCTATAATAGATAAATTGAATAACATGCTGTTTAATTTGTATGTGTGTTATTGAATGAAGCTATGAAGAGTATTTGGTCTGCATATTAAGGATACCGGTATTGTTTTGGTAAGTAAGGAAAAGTTCAGTGTTATTTTTTTCTAAATTAATTAACCGTGGGTAGTTGAATATGTTGTACAAGAGACTTGAATGTACCAGTGTTTTGTAAGGTTATTTTTAACAGTTAAACAATAACTTGTCAATGAGGATTTTTTTTTTCTGTCTAGACTATCTTTGGTTTTCTGCTTCCTTTTGGGCTTCAATTTTAGAGTGGAAAATGCTTGGATAGTTGATAATATTTTTGTTATGTAACATTTTCTATGCTGTATACCATTTTTCTGGCTTTTATTTGGACAAATAAAACTGTCTTTAAAAAACAATTTTCCATTTCTTAAAAATGTTACAGATTACTCAACACCTAAAAGTTCATTGCAGGAAATTTGGAAAATACAGGCTAGTATGAAGAAGAAAATATGTTACCATTGGTCCCACTCTCAGAGATACTTGCTGTTAACCATTATTAATACTGTATATAATTAATATTCATATATATAATATATATATATAATTTTTGTCTATATTTCTTATTTCCTTATATGAAGTTTCTAGGAGTGGAATTGTTAGTTCAAAATGTATGACATTTTTTAAGATGCTTTATTGATATTCCCAAATTGGTTTCTATAAAGATAATGTGTTAGTCTGCAGATGGTTTAAAGAGAAATTTCTCACTGTTTTGGAGACTGGAAGTCCAAGACCAAGGTGCTAGGAGGGTTGGTTTCTGTTGAGACCTTTCTCCCTGGCCTGTAGATGGCACCTTCTCATTGTGTTCTCTCGTGGTCCTTTCTCTGTTGGAGTGTAGTCAGAGAGAGATCTCTGGGCATCACTTTCTCTTCTTGTAAGAACACAAGTCCCCATCATTATGACCTTGTTTAATTAACCTTAATTACCTCCTATGGGTCCTACCTCTAGTCACAATGTGGGGGTGCTAACTTCAAAATATGATTTTTGAGGGTTCACAATTCAGTTCATAACATTGATATCTCATCATCAGTGAATTATGGAGTTCTCATTTCACCATTTTACTGCTGACATTGGATACACATACTACATACATATGTGCATACATATTGCAAATTTAATAAAGACGATATTGTTTTACTTTGCATTTCTTTGATCATTAGTTTTAGTGAAAAATTAAAAGTATTTGGACATTTTAATTTTTAGCAGTTTTTATTGTATTTTGACCATTTTTTTTGGCTGGAGTTTTAATAGTCCATAAACATACATTTTCATTTAAACATTTAGCTATTTTGTATTTTAGCAGGTATTTTTGGTTATACAGAAAAGGAATAATATTTTAAAATGTTACTTGTTTTTTAACATTAAACTATTATTTACCTTTAAAATACAGCAAAGTCTACAGGGTTAACATATATGAATGTCTATATTAATGAATCATATGTTTGGTACTCACCATACATTCATAAAAACTGTGTATAGTTGGATGCATTGATTTGCTGGCAGTGAAATAAAGGTAGTGGCAAGGTGAATGCAGAATCTTTTCAGCTATTGTTTGCTCTAAATTAACAAATACAGCAGTGTTTCCTGAGATGTGCTTCTCACTACTCTGATCCCACAAGGTGTTGGTTGAGTAGTTTTGGGAACTACTTGCATACTACGTCTCTCACCTAGTGGCTGACACTGCTCATCAGAAACTTGACCACTCTGATGAGCCCCGTACTACAGCAATCTGTTTCACTTTTGTAAACTGACTACTTTCAAAACTTATTCTGGCAATAAGATATTCCCTTACTTTTTTCTTTGTGTGATTTTAGTTTTTTATTTTTAAATATTTATAAATTCACAGGAAATTGTAAAGAAATGTACAGGAGGTCCCAAGCACCCTTCACCTAGTCTTCCCTGATGATAGCATCTTGCATAACTATAGTACAATGTCATGACCAGGGAATTGACATTAGTACAATCCACAATGCTTATTCAGATTTCATCAGCTATACATGGCCCTTGTGTGTGTGTGCTGATGCATGTGAATGTGGATCAGTTTAAGTTTTATCATATGTAGATTCATGTAAGCAGCACCACCATAAGACTCCCTCATGCTAGCTTTTTATAGCCACACCCACTATCCCCCCTTTCTATAGCACCTGGCAACCATTGATATGTTCTCTATTTCTAAACTGTCATTTTAAGAACGTTATATATTCTTTGTTTGCTCTCTTCCTGAAAATAAAAAAAAAATCTTTAAAAATGTCATATAAGTGGAATATGTATGTAACCTTTTGTTCTTTTAAAAAATATATTTTATTGATTTTTCACAGAGAGGAAGGGAGAGGGATGGAGAGCTAGAAACATTGATGAGAGAGAAACATCGATCAGCTGCCTCTTGCACACCCCCTACTGGGGATGTGCCCACAACCAAGATACATGCCATTGACCGGAATCGAACCTGGGACCTTTCAGTCCACAGGCCAACACTCTATCCACTGAGCCAAACTGGTTTTGGCTGTATGTAACCTTTTGAGGTCGACTTTTTTCATTTAGCAGAATTCCCTTGAGGTTCATCTAGATTGTTGTACATACAAAGACTTACTTCCTTTTTATTGCTGAGTAGTATTTCATGGTACAGATGTATCAAAGTTGTTGTTTTTATCCATTTACCCATTGAATGACATTTACCTCTACCCCATATTTTTGGTTAAATGTATTAATATCTTTTATAGATATTTTTCTGAAGAACACTGACTTTAGAAATCTGTACCACAGAAATGATACAGTTAAAGAATTATCACTAATGAGTATTCCTGGGTTACAGAAATTTAAAATCATTAACTGTTTGGTTTAGGAGTTCCAGAGACGCTGTAATACTCTGATTTCACTGATTGAGAAAGAAAATATGGAAATTGAGGAAAGAGAGAGAGCAGAAAAGAAGAAACGCACAACTAAAACTCCAATGGTAAAATTTTCAGCATTTTCCTAATTTTTAGGTAGATCTCATTTTTACATAATTAAAATGCCTATATTATGTTTAATGCCATAGTGATACCAATGATAAAAACTGGTTTTATGAATTGCTAATTTTTTTTGATAGAAAAAGAATTACACTACAACCACTGTTTCTTATTTGTTTATAAACCATATGGTTAGGAACTCCCTACCTAGTAACAGGCCTCTATTTTAACAAATTCCTCATGACTTTAAGCAAAAATATAATGCAAGTAAAATCCTTCAAATTGAGACTAGAGTTGTAGGTGGGAGTTGGAGGAGGGGTATGGAATGGAGCCGAAATTGATAAAATAAATTTTCTTTGTGGAACTATGAGTGAAAATGAGAACTTTGAGTGGATAGCAAAGCTTTACTTGGTTTACTTGCTCAATAAATTAACTGTTGAATAATAAGATAACTTGATTTTAATATAGTTAGGTTGTCTTATATATTTAGAATTTAAAATAGTCTTAAATGGGTCACGTTATTTGAGTGTGGTTATGTAAACTACCATATTTCAGCAAAATATGAAGTCTGAGATGCCTTCTTCTCTAAGAAACGGCATTATTTTATGTACCACTGAGAAAAACTGTTGCCAAATAACTATAACTTGTCATCAATTGTAAGATGCATCCCAATTTCAGAGATGCTAACTTGGGAAAGAAATGTGCATCATAAAATACATGAAATGTGGTATTTTAATATCTATCATATAGTTTTTATAAATAATACACTCATAAATAACATTTTGCCCAGAAAACTTTCAATATTAAGTAGTTAACATAAGAGTACATTTATAGTACTATGTGTAACTGGCCACTTGATGACTATTTTTATGCATATTTTATGTCTTTTAAAAAAAGAAACATATTTGAAGGTTATTTACATTGGGTTATATAGTTTGTTGGGCTATATAGAACATTAATTGTGAGTATAACATTTAAGTGAATATTCATGTTAAAATTTTTTTTAATGCATTTACATCCTAGATTTAACATTGTTGGGCCATTTAAAAATATCCATATTGGAGCAGAACATTAAATCTGTTTCCATTTTAGTCACAGAAAAGAAAAGCAGAGTCAGCTACTGAGAGCTCTGGAAAGAAGGATGTCAAGAAGGTGAAATCCTAAAGCCTAGAAATAAAGTTTTAAATGGGAAACTGCTATTTTCTTGTTCCCATCTTCAAATGCTAATTGCCAGTTCCAGTGTATTCATGGTACTCTAAGAAAAATCTTTTTCATTTTGATTTCTTGCATATTTTATATATTTTACAATGCTTTCTACTTGAAATGTGTAGCTTTATATTTTATGCATTCTAGTATTTTTGTGTACTGTATTTTGTGCATTTCATGTCTTCATCAAATCCTCTCAGTCCTTGTTCTTTTGAAGCTTGTGCTGAGGTTTTAGCTTTTCTATGTTTTATATGCCGCTGCTTTGAAAGAAAACCTAGATTCTATAGCTGTATTATTGTTGTTTCATACTTTAAATTTATATGGCTGTGGAAAAAAGAATTAAAATGATTTGAGGAGAAAGACTTTTTCACTTCTTTGTTGCTTTCTTTTCTATTGAGTATGGGATTGTTGTATTACTGCATACTGTGATTAGCATAATAAGTGTTTCTTTGAGGTCATCTAAATATTTTTTTTTCCTAAAGGAATCAAGGGTGAGAACAGAAAAATATTAAAAAGCTAATATTTGATACTGTGCTTGCTGTCAGTATGAATCACATTTAAATTATTCTCTAAATATTCAAGTGGGAAAATATAATAAAGAAATGTCTATACGAAATTTAATTATTTCCTGTTTTTTTGTGCAGTACAAAATATTTGTATTTCCTGAATTGTATTGCTCTCTACTATGTATTTGGTTGAAAGTTAAAACTTTGCTTGCTGACTTGTGTGCGATTTTATGTCCAGTAGAGCCAGTTCAGAAGACTATGGGTTTAACATGCAGATTTATTGACGACTAAGTTAAGCGTATAAAATAAGCCCAATGCATGCAGAAGAAGGGGGCTGTGTTTGATAGGAATACAATTATGTTCGGATTACAATCTCAAAGTGTCAGAAGTTTTATACACCAAGAGTTTATTTCTTGCTCATATCACAGTCCCATTGCTGGGGAGAGGGATGTGAGAATGGGAGGGATCTGCTCCACACAGTCACTCCACTGTTTTGTAGCTGTAGTTTCATTGTGTTCTAATTGGGATATGTAGCCTGTTCAACTGATGCTGTAGGAGAAAAAGAGATGCTGGATAATTTCATGTAGGTACTTTATTGATTCAGCCAGAAGCGACACATGTCACATCTTCTTATATTTCATTGACCACACCTAGTTATGTGGTACCATGTATGTGCAAGTGAGCTGGCAAATATAGGGGGACATATTAGAATGCTTTACATTATTTCCTCTGCTATAGGAGCTCTCTGTTCAGGAAAAAACTTGGGTCTGGCACATGAAACTGCTAGTGTGCAATTAATCAAAGTCAAGGTTAGTTTATAAGGAAACATAAAAATGGATCAGAATCTAATATGAAACACACAACAAATAAAGTCTGGGAATGCGGGACAGTGGTGTTAGTTATCAAAACAAGGTTTGCACCAATATAGAATTACTCCTGCACCCATTAAGATCTTTTGCATTTCCTATCAAATTCTCTTTAGTGTCCTCAATCTTCTCATAGAGGTTCTGAAACAATGCTGCAATGAACATAGCGGTGCATATTTTTGCAAACAAATGTTTTCAATTTTTTTTGGATAGATATACAGAAGAGGGATTGCTAGGTCATGTGGTAGCTCTCTTCTTAATTTTTGAGGAACATCCATACTGTTTTCCATAGTAGCTATACCATTTTGAATTCCCACTAGCAGTGAATGAGGGTTCCTTTTAGCACTTTCTTAAGGTGGAATGAAGATAGAGGGTGGAAGCAGGTACAAATCTTGGGTAGCTCTGAGTACAAGCCAGCATCTTTCACATCCTTGGTCTTCTCATAGAGGTTCTGAAACAAGAATACATCTTCTAGAATGACAGCCCATTATCTGCTAGATTTTCCAAGTTTTTATTTATTGCTCAGATTTCTTATTTCTTACTGACATACCCCTGATTGGATACCTTTTACTGTATCCACTAAGAGTGAGACTCTTGCACTTTATTGGAGGTTGGGGTGAAATTGGGGTACTAGTAGAGATGTCATTAGGATGATATTATATCAAGGAACCCAGAGATACCCAAATACATCCTTGGCTTAACTGCTCTTTCTGTGAGGTCCACAAAGAAGGCAAAGGTAATCAAAGCAATACTTCAGGAGCTGGTGCTGTGGCTCCAACTTTAATCTAGAGCTCTTAAACTCAAAATAACATTTTGGAATTTTTCACTCGAATGAAATTAAAAGTTTCACCTGAGCAAGAGAAAATGATAACCTGAGAAGGTCTTATTGTAACCCCTAAGTTCTGTTCTTTAAAAAACAGCCCAGTGAGAGCCCCGAATTCTGATCAGTCAGTTTAGCATTTTTCCCTTTGTTTTTTGTCTTTTTAAAATTTTATTTTTAAAAATTTTATTAAATTTGTTGTAATGTTGGTTAATAAGCTTATGTAAGTTTTAGGTGCACAACTTGGTAATAACAACATCTGTAAGTTTCATTGTGTGCTCACCACAGAAAATCTACTCTCCTTCCATCACCATATACTTGAACCCCTCCACTCTTGTCATCTTTCCCTTACTTACTTCCTCTCTGGTAACCACCCTTCTATTGTCTGTGAATTTGTTTGTTTGTTGCTTTCTTTTTAATGTCCCACATAGGAGTGACATAGTATGGTTTTTGTCTTTTACCACCTGCTTATTTCATTTAGCATGGTATTCTCAAGATCCATCCATGCTGTTGCAAGTGGCAGTATTTCATCTTTTCTTATGATTGAATAGTATTCCACTGTGTGTGTGTGTGTCACATTTTCTTTACACAATCATCCATTGAAGGACACTTAGGTTGTTTCCATGTGTTAGTTACCATGTATAATGCTATAATGAAATAGGAGTGCATGTTCTTTGAAAACAAATGTTTTGCAATTTTTTTGGATAAATACAAAGAAGAGAGATTTCTGGGTCATGTGGTAGCTCCATTCTTAATTTTTTGAGGAACATTCGCACTGTTTTTCATAGTGGCTGTACCAATTTATATCACCATCAGCAGTGAAAAAGTTCCTTTTAGCATTTCTTTTCTTAAGACATAATTAAAATGGAGGGTGGGAGCAGATACAATTAGTATCTTTGAACTTCTTTCATGGAAATTTAACCATCTCTATTTCTTTTTTTAAAATTTTTTATTTTTATTTTTATTGATTATGGTCTCACATAATTGTCCTTATTCCCCCATTCCCATCCCAAACCCCTCCCTAGATATGCCCCCCCCAACCCCTGTTGTCCATGGCCATTGGCTAGGCCTATATGTATGCACACAAGTCCTTTGGTTGATCTCTTCCCCTTACCCCCACCCTCCCTTATTTTCCCTCTGAGGTTTGAGAATTTGATTGCTGGTTCTCTTTCTCTGGTTCTGTTTATGTTGTTCATTATTTCCTCTAGATGTGTGAGATCATGTGATCCAACAAATACCCTTGTAAGAACCTAAACTACAACAAGCCATAATGGTTATGCTGAGAGGCAAATGAATCAATCTGTAGTGAGTTCCTTCTTATTTTCTCTGGTAACCTAAAATGTTATTACTAATCTGTAATCATGGCTCATATGAGCCTTTCTTGGGCTAAAGAGATGGGATATAAAAAATATCTAAGGTGTTCAGTGAATGTCTCTGATGTCATTCTCAAAAACTTGTGAAAGCATTTTATTCAGGATATTAAACACCACACCTATTATATTCCTAACCTTAGATTATGTACAGTATCTTTGTTGAACATAGCCTACCAAGTAGGACTATACAATGAACACCAGATGACAGCATGGTCCAAATAATACAATGATTGGATATAAAATGGCCCAAGTCTTTATAGGCAATCTCTCTTATTGGTCAATTTTCTACAGAGAAAGTAAGGTGTCACAGAGAATTTAAAATTTCCAACAAAGAATTCCATTTCAAAAAAGAGGCCTAGACTGATGGGATAGTAGCCCCTAGATCTGGAAGCCATGTTGGGGAGAAAGAGTAGGATAGTTAGTTTATTATGTTGGCTGCTTAGAGGTTAAAGGAAGCAGAAGAAAGTGCTGTACCCATGAATACTATCTTATACATTCATAATCAGCCCATCACCAAAAATGGTCCAATTGATTCTATTGGAGTCCTACCTAACCCGATTCCTTGTTTGGAAAATGTGAAAGGAGGGAAGTAAGTAGAAAGCAGGGACCCTAAGTGGTTTCCTTCACTCAAGGCCTCTGTCTATAGAAGACAAGAGGTGAATAGCTTTTCCAAAAACCCTTGGGCTTCCACAGAGGCCCTCATAAATCACCTGTCTTTAATGATTCACTGGCTAATCAGATCCTAATTTCCTTAGAATCAAAAGAAGGTAGTGAGCTAGAAATCTTTCATTTTTCATCATAGTAACTTATAATTCCTTCTTGTTCTCTGGCTTCCTGGTTTATGAGTAGTTATGCTATATAGAAAAGCTGGATACTTGTCAGATTCCCATGAAATATGCCCCAAATTTGGTCCATTGTGTGAGACTTCCCAGTTAAAAGAAATTATTGAACTATAAACTTTACAGCTATCTTAGTTGTGGGTGTTTGGTCTGAAAAGTCTCTGCCCATCTGGTGAAACAACTGTCACCAAAATAAAATGCAATTATTCCTCACTGTGATCTATTGTTCCTCCTTTATGGTACAGTAGCCAATCAGGTTCCTGGGCCAGTTTCAAGGCCCACATTGCTTTCTCTCCAGGTGTTCTTATTTTTAACTCCTGAGATCCTTAAGTTTCCATCAAATTTCAAACTTCTATCAGTATTCTATCCCATGTCTCCTTTATTTAGTCTGCCTAAGCTAACCTCTCCAATAGACAAGGGGTAATATTTTAATGTGATTCAAATACATGTAGCTAATGCCATGTCATGTCCCATATCCCTCAGCCTTATCATTTTTGTGTGTTCCAGCTGATAATTTCTCCAACTGCCAATGTCTCTTTGTCTATGGGCATTAT